CCCCTACCTTGGAGATATATTCTGGGGGCGTTTGGTTCAGAGAGGTCAAGGAAGTCGGAAGGCACAAGAAGGTCCTGGTTCAGGGTTTTCACTCGTTGAAGTGGAATATCCTACAACCACGGGGACTGGTGCATCGAAGCGCACGTCGATGCAATAGCGCGACAGTGGAGCCGAAAGTTTGTTCTTCAACATGCAGAAAGACCTTCAATGTAATGCCCGCCTAGCTCAATCGGATAGAGCGTCAGACTCTTATAACACGGATCTGAAGGCTGCGAGTTCGACCCTCGCGGTGGGCTAGACATTATAAATTTTGCCATTTATTTCTTTTCATGATCCTTTAGTCGGAGATCAAACTCTAACGGGCAAATTGTACAGTTTACATAAGCGGCTCCTCGCTCAATCCCACTAACAATTATTCCCCGACGCCAAAAATCGCCGTAGCCAACGCAAGCTTTTCGGGCACAGTGAGTGTCCATCGCCAGCTCCTGTCCGTAGTAATCCAGGTCCTTATTCTATATCCCGAAACCCAGGCTCCTCAAGACCTTCTCTTCTCAAAATGACACACGACGCTGTTTGGTTCTCTCGCCCCAGGAAGTACGGAAAGGGCTCCCGTCAATGGTGTGTAAATTCAGCCGTGGGTGGTGCATATCGTTACGAGGGGGAACCTATGCACGCTGGGTGACAAGTTAGCTGACGATCCGCTTTGATTCGCGACATCTAGCCGCCTCTGCGCCCACCAGGCTGGTCTCGTCCGTAAATACGGCCTTGACCTCTGCCGTCAATGCTTCCGTGAGAAGGCTGCTGCCATCGGTTTCACCAAGGTGCGGGGACTTACAGGGCGTAACGGACGTGAATTACTTACACAGTTGTCTAATCTCAGAACCGGTGAACAACCACTACTTGCATTCCATTCTCTGTCATCGCATTCCTCGTCTTACTGCATAGAAAAACGCCCTCTTGTATGGAAATTTATGCTATGCCAACAAGATTCCATTTCTGGGAGCTAAAACACCACGACCTGTCTCGACAATCTTAAACTTGAGCCGCAAGTCTGCTTAATACACACCTCGAAATTAGAGTGCTTTGCCTTATGTGCCTCCCTGTGACGAGGATCTGGAGCGCATTCCCTTACAAGACATACGTTTAGTCGTTACGTTCTCGCTGAAGTCTAATGAAAGACGTTGCATGTCCACCAACGGACCATCAAATTTTACGAGAGTCGTATCGTCAAATTCGTCGCATGAAAAATCTTCTCCCACCGTTCGTGACTGCGCGGGTTCCGTGTCTCGGTACTCCGTTTGAGCGCCAGGGATTGCCCATTGCTCAAGGGCTTCCTATACATATACATGTCCAAAGAGCACCATAATCTCCGCAAATCTAATTATTTAGCGACTTTATACAACTTGGATTTGAATAACTACAGAATGACAGACAAATAGTGCTGCGACGAGGATACTATTAGACAGACAACCGAGTTAGAGGTGATTGAGAAATAACCTGTACAAATGGGTAGGCAGGAGGCAAATAAGAAGGTTGTTGTGACAGGAAAGCAGGAAAAGCAATTGGGTGCGAATATGCCGGTTGCAAAATACAATGCGGGGGAAAGTGTGTGTGGTATGGAGTATAGATTCGGGTGCGGGGGCCGAGGATTTAGATAGTACGCGGGTACGGGGAAGAAGAGGAGTGAGACAGAACGACAATTCAAAAGGCTTTCGTAGGGTAGGGGTTTTGAAGGTATCGGACGCGGAGGCATCGAGTGATTAAAAAGAACATAAGTCCATGGTGATTTTGAAAGAATGAAGAATTGTGCATGGTTGCCTGTCATACCGCGCGATGATTACATCCCGTAACCGAAGTTCGACCTTTGCTGGTAGGGATCGACGTTCAGGGAGCCAGAGAGTCCTGCGCCGGCGAAGGGACTGGCGCCGGCGAAAGAAGCACCGGAGAACCCGCCTCCGTGGGTGAGCGACGACAAGCCACCCTGGTTGTGGCTCGAGTTGCCTTGCAAGACGTACCCATCAATCGACTGTGATTGCAGGCCGTGAAGCGGAGACGCGGCCAGATGAGCCTGGCCGAACGACGCCTGAGGCATGGAGTAGAGTCCGTTCTGGGCGCCGTACACGTCAGTCAAAGGGTTGGGTTGGTGAAGGGAGGGCGGATGGCGAGCGCCGCCATGAGGAGTACCGATCGCCTGGTTACCGAGGGCGAGATTACCCATGCCGGACTGCAATCCAGGCTGGCTGTGATAGCCTCCACCACCTCCGAAGTGGTCCATCTGCTCGCGCTGCAGCTTATTCTGGATGCGCTTGCCATATGGTGTGTTCCTGATGAGAGGAAGAATGGGGCGGATGCCCTCAACCAACAGTGCGCGCTGGGCGGGCTCAGCGTAATCCAGAGCAGTCTAACATCATGACATATATCAGCCTCGAGCCTGAAAGACACAGAAAATTAACGGACCTGGACGCAGTAATTGCCATACGAATCACGGAGCAGTTTCTCCAGGCGAGTGCGGTTCAAAAGCTCCTCGATAAGCATCTTGCGCGTGCTATGTTCAGCGACGCGAACACACTGCAGACACATGAGAAGATGCGATGGAAATAAGACACGCGACAAACCTTCTCAATGACATTGGAGCTGAACTTCTGCACGGAGAGGGCGCATACATTGCCAGCAAACTGACGGATGACAGCGTCGCTGAAACGGTTGTCGTTCAAATCGAGGATGTATTGTACAACCTGGACATGAATGTCAGCAAAAACTGTCGAAAGAGGAAGGTAGAGGAAGCTGAGCGACATACGTAGTTGCCGTAGGGGTCCTGGACAAGAGTAAGGGCATTGTACGTGATCTCGTTCACCAACTGGACGCGTTGGTGATCAGAGGCATGGTCGATGCACCTTTGCAGAACACAGCACCCATGGCGGTGGGTGGCAACTTCCACGCAATTGGCAGCAACAGCATTATAGATGAACTATTGGTGGAGAGTTAGAACTGTGAGAAGTAACACAGAAACCCAGCGAAAGTACCTGGTTGTCTTCCGGGGCCAACTTGTTGAGACACTTCTGGATGACGTGGTTACCGTTCAAATCCTTGATAAGCACCACAACGTGAAGGCTGAGGGCAAGGATGATAGAATGGATCTGAGCATTGTATCGATGATCAGCCTGGGTTGTTGTCGTAAGTGTGATAGGAGTGATAAGGAATGGACGGGACTTGCCTGCCTCCTGGTTGAAAGGAAGTCGACCATCTTCTGCACCGCACGCGTACCATGCATGTTCAGTGAGATGTTGACGAGTTCCTGAGCGACAGAGTCGCAAATGACGTTGCGTTGCTCATCCGTCGAATACTCCAAAAGCTTCTGGCACAGGTAGTTTCCGAAGGGGTCGGTCATGAGCTCTGCGAAATGACCGAAAGTCTCGCGGAAGATCATGTCGCGGTGCTCCGGAATCCCCTCCTCTAGCTTCTTCTGCAAGTAGCGGCAACCATGCTGGTCCTTGCATAGAGCGGGAATTTCGCCTTGAAGATCCTCCAAACGAGTGCCCGCGAACCGGTTGACTGAAGATTGTAAGCTTTTACGTTTTACCAGCAGAAGGGGAAAATCGTACATTCACGATCCATATCACCCCGCTTGTGCTTGGGTCCATGCAGCCCATTCATCTTGTTATCCCCACCAGCTGCGTTAGCACGTCCCGGGATTCCTAAACCATAGCGGGAGCCATTGTGGTGGTATAATGCCGTAGAGCCACTGGTTCCGTTGTTGGCACCGCTGCCACTGTTGCGGCCATTCGTGTCGTAACCATAGCTGTTGTAGCGATTGTTGTCCAGGCCGCCGCTGACGCCATATACAGAATCCAGGCCATACTGCTGCTTGAACAGAAGTGAGGAAGGGCATGATGGGATTTGCAGGAAACACATACCTCGTCCAGGCTAGAGGGCTGGATGGAGGTGAACGTGAGGGAACCGTTCTCGTAAGGGGGCTGGTTAAGGCGGGAGAGCGATGCTTGCAAGTCCGTCGGACTCCCTGAAGTGTCAGACAGTTGGTGGGCCGAGAGACGACCGTTCATAACATGCGTATCAGGAGTGTGGGGACTGCCTTGAGATCGAATGTGAACTGCATTTCCAGGGACGCCACCAAGAGGGGTACCAGGCACTGAACGAGCGGAGCTGCTAATGCTATCCAACAGGCTGCTCGGAGGAGAGCCACGTCGCGAGACGGGGGTGGGGACATGAGAGTGCGTCGACCCTTGAGACAGCTGTTGGATGAGGGGAGTGGCAGAAACCGAGACAGCTCCGTGTTTGCCTGCAGGATGATCGTCGGAGGGCGCAGAAAGGGTCATGCTCGGGTTGGTGACAGTTCGCCTATCGTTGCGAGAGTTGAGCCCGTCAGGCCCACGGGGACCTCCGATAAACTGAGGCCACTCCGAGGATGCCTTTTCTCGAGGATCCAGTGCACGATAGTGGGAGCGAGGAGACGTCTGAGAAATATGGGCCAGATCCAAAGCCGCCGAGGAAGTTGACACCTTTTGAAAAACGAGGTTCGGGCACACAAACTAATGTAACAGAAGCGTCATCCTTACCTTGTTGGGATACGAGTTGTTGTGATACTTATCGTCATCCGAAGTGGGGAGGTTCCTCATAGCGTCTACGTCATGATCAGCTGTGTGTGATATTGGAGAGTTGGAGGTACGAACTGTGCATTTCCTGATCCAACTGCTCGTCCAACATCATACCAGGGTTATAAGTACTGGCATAACGAGCGGCCTGGTCGTCACCGTAACGAGAGTTTCCCCTCAACAAAATGGACGCCGACACTGGGGCAGGTATGGGAGATGCCCTGTTCGAACGTTCCCCTGCCATGGATAACCCCTGAAGGTGGCTAGTCAGCTCCTCGTCGTGGCTGCTCGCGGAGGTTCTGCGACTGGCAGGCATGCTCTTCGCACCAGCGGGGCGCGAAAAGCTTTGACCATTCGTTGTAGCAGACGTGGGTATGTCCGGCGAGAGGTTGACCGAGGGAGCATAGGTAACCGACTTCCTTTTGTCTGCTGCAGATCCTACGGCCCTGGAGAGCGACTCAGCATCAACAGGGAGTTGCCCGCGCGCCACCCGACCATTCAGATGGGCCTCGCCACTCAGAAGAGCGTTGACGCGAGGGGGAGTGGTCGGAGCTGAGACCGCCAAATGCTGAATTCCACCGTTTCCGTTTGGTGCGTTCGGGTCATAGGGAATGGAAAGCAACTCTTGCGCCTGCTGCTGCTCGAGAGCCCGCATTTGATCCTCGAATATTTTGCGCTGGAGAACA